GGAAAATAAAATGGAAATGTTGAGATTCAGGTTTTGTCTGTGCCATCGTTTGCCGTACTCCTCTGTCTCCATCACTTGGGTGTTAATAGTCCTCCAAATGCAGGAGAGTTGTGACTAGCTCCTCCACATGCTCTCTGCCTTTATAACACCATCCAATGGCTTAGCTACCTTGTGAGATTTAAAACTCGTGATATCAAGTGCACTACAGAGAGAGTAAAAATGTTTATTGCAGTACCCTGCTGTGTTTCCTCCTCTGGATGTTGCCAATCACTTTCAGAATAAAGAGTTTATTTTAGGTCAATGTTGTTGGGGTTTGGTTGGTTGGTTGGTTGGGTTTGTTTGTTTTTTTACTGGGAGCAGTGGGTGGGTTTTTTTAGTAGGAATTTTGATGACAAATTTAGGACCCAAGCCTAGACCCCCATTTAATGAGCCTACAAGCAAAAGATGTCCTGGCTGCACTTTGTGAACATGAAGTCAGAAATCAGGTCATGAGTGGTTTTCTGAAGATGGAGATCGTAAGAGGGATTTAACCACCACCATCTACAGTGGCTTCTGTCTATCTGAGGGAAACTTTCTAAGAAGGAAGCCACTTGTCGTAATTTTTTTTTCAATAATGAGTGTTATGTTGCTGACAAAAATAATCAAAATTACACTATTGCACCCTCTGGAATAATGAGTTATCTAACCTTATGTCATGATTTAGCCCCAGCTAGCAATCAAGTACCACACAGTCACTCGCTCACCTCCCCCTCCTCCAGCAGAGGAGGAGAGTCAGAGGAAAAGACAAGGAAGCTCATGGATTGAGATAAGAACAATTTAATAACTAAATATAAATGGATAAAATAGTGATACTAATAATATGAAAAATGCTACTAATATGTAATGAAAATAATAGAAAATAAAACAAATTATACAATTGCTCACCACCTGCTGACAGATATGCAGCCAGATCCCAAGCAGTGAGAGTCAGAGCCAGAGACCCTGCAGAGCTGCTGCCTGAGAGCGATCATGGCAGAGTCTGAGTGACCCCCATGAACAAGAGTACAAACCAAGAAAGTTAACTGACCCAGCAACTCACTAACAAACTCACAATAAAACGAGCTGTGGTCCTACCCCTCCCTCCCCCCCCCAGCTTATGCACCAAACATAATGTGCTATGGAATGAAATACCCCTTCAGTCGGTTTGGGTCAGCTGTCCGAACATGTGTCCCCCCCACTGCTTGCAGTGAGAGAGTTGGGAACGCAGCTGCAGTATCAGAAGCTGAGAGAGACCTTGAATTCAGGGAAAGCACTCCCCAGCACCAGCTAAAAAGACACCTTATCAGTACTTTTTCCCAGGGCAACTCCAAAACAGAGCCTCATACCAGCCACTGCGAAGAAAATTACTTCTGTCCTGACTAAAACCAACACACCTTATCATACCTGTATCAACTAGACTTCCTCAGCAGTGTGCACAACCCACAGAAAGCTCATTGTTCGTTTTCTTCACTGAGTTCTCATTAAGAAATGTAAGCTGATCCTATGACGCTGAGTACTGGTGTGATTTTTAGATCACCCAAAGGTATCGGAGCGATGCACAGCCACCTGCCCTAGAAGGCACAGCTGTAACTCAGCATCACCACCTTGCCCACGGGCTGGGTGAGGATGGGGGCACCCGCAGAAGCTTGGACATGTGTGCAGGAACACAGCGTCGATGCCTTTTCTGCTCCTCACCCTACCAGCGAGTGGGCTGGGGGTGCACAAGACACAGCTGACCCCATCTGACCAAAGGGATGTCCCATGCCATATGACATCAGGCTTAACATCAGGCTCATTCCTCAGCTGTGGGAAGGAGGAAGGGGGGAGGATGTTTGGAGTGATGGTGTTTGTCTTCCCAAGTAACTGTTAGGAGTGATGGAGCCCTGATTTCCTGGACCTGGCTGAGCACCTGCCCGCTGATGGGAAGTGGTGAATGAATTCCTTGTTTTGCTTTGTTTGTGTGCGTGGCTTTTGCTTTACCTTTTAAACTGTCTTTATCTCAACCCATGGGTCTTTTCACTTTTACTTTTCCGATTCTCTCCCCCCATCACACCCAGGGTGGGAACAGTGAGTGAGCAGCTGTGTGGTGCTTAGTTGCCAGCTGGGGTTAAACCATCATGATAATTTACCTTGAGCCAAAGGAACTGTATATCATATACTCATCTAATAATGATGTTTAAGAAATCTCCGTGCACTGTGCATAAAAAGCAGATGACTCCACTGAATGGCTTCTGCTACCATGCAAATGCAGTATATTCTAATATACTTAAGGAAATGGGGGATAATCTGAACTTTACATATGCTGAAAAGATTTTGTCTACCTGCCTTTCAGTTGTGGGTTTGTTGGGTTTTTTCCTGCACCTGGGCTTGTACTGTAGACTTATAAGGAACAGCCTTGTTTCTAACCTGTGGATCAAAGCAATTACTGTATTTTAAAAGGTAGATGAAGTATTATGACTGTTTTAAGGAAGTTTGTAATTCTGCTTTTAATGAAGTTAGGAATATTTTCACCTCAATGAATGGTTGTCATCACTACATAGGTGTTTTTATGCTGTGACTTTGCTCCAAGAACTGGGTTGTTGCAAACAGAACAAGAGCAGATGAAAAAAACTCTGTTAAGTACTCTCAGTGTCAGTGTTGTGCTTAAGACTGTCTTGCTCCACTAAGGCTCTTATTGAGGTCCCTGGCATTTACTCCTGGAATAGGAGTTAAACAACATGCCTGGAGGAGTACAAGGTAACCTTCACACCATGAAATGAACCAAAGAATTAGACTCTTATTCCAGAGTACTCTTTGTGCTCACAGGTTTGATAAAGTCTAGGATTTGGGTTTTTTTCTGCTAGTACCAAGAAGTTGAGGAAACAAAACAGCATAGCTTCCTGCTAAATTCCAAGAAATAGTATGGAAGGGACCTGCTAGATGAACCCACCACAACCACTTCTTGCTTTGTGAACAAATTTTAAAACATTATCTGTCTGAAGATTTTATGTAACCTGTTTGGTCAGTGGCCAGCTCAGAAGAATTCTTTCCTCAGGGGGTGATGGGATAGGATCACTTAAGTGATGAAAGAAGGCAAAATCCTGGTGGAAATCAGAAGGCTGACAGCTGAGGCAGTGGAAATGACCTAGAAAAGACAACACTGGGGAAGAGAAGACAGAGATTTTGTGGTGGCAATATGTCCCAGATGTGTGCAATTAGCAGAAGTCCTGGAAGAGGGAGAACTGTAGGCAGCAATAACTCCTGTCTGCTTAAGGGTTAAAGAGAAGGGAGATTAAGGAACTGTATGACTTTTCAGACTTGACTGACAGTTTCATTAGTATGCAGAAGACACAGTCAAGGGAATAAATGAAGAACTCATCTCTTCAGAGAATGATCCAAATAAAATCAGTGGGTGGAGAGGCACAGAAACATCTGTGGTACATATTGCCAAGCTCAGCCCTAGAAAGTGCTTCCCACAAGTGATGTGTCTTTTCAGACCAACACTGCTTCAAACACCTCTCAAGTGTTTTATAAAAAAACAAACCAAAACAAAAACTCATGGGATTTTCTTTTCCTCCACAGTTCTTTCTCAGTCAAGCCCCACTCTGAGGCTTGGACAGGTTAAAAAACATAGCCAGAGCACCAGAAATGGCCTGGGGATACTGTTGCAGACTTTAGGAAGCGAATCCTCATTTCGCTAGAAAACAAAACTCAGTCTGCTTTGAGGAGCTCAGGAATGTAATAAAAATCAAACCAACAGAGTCCCTTCTCTTTGTCTCCACTGGCTATGAAAAAATACAGGACACAGCAGCACAGATGCAGCAACCTACAGTGAAATGACTCCTTCCTCACTGTCCTGGCTTTCTTCTGAACTCGCCAGGTGGAATCCA